ACTTGATGCTACAGATGGGAAACAGGCTCGTCGCACTGGTTCGAGTTCGCCATTGGGTGAACTTTTTGATCATGGATGTGACGCTATTTCTCAGGGTTTGCTTCTTTCTGGATAAAATACTTAAAATTCAGCATTCTGTTATTTGTCATATCTTTTCATAAGAAAAGAACAATTTGTGTTGTTTTGTGGCACACTGGAACTGTTATATTGCAGTGTTTGTCACGTTAAACATTTGCTATGCGATGTTAATTGGTGAGGAGCGTTATTTGGTTTTATTAGTAGTTATTTTATCCGTTACGCTTTTTTACTGCGCACACTGGAGCACCTACTGTACAGGGCAGTTGAAATTTGCCAAGTAAGTCGTTTTGCTTGTATTATGAGCTCATACTCGTCGTTAGCACAAGGGTAGCATTTGAATTTACTTCTGACTGGAGCGTTGACCGGCTGTCATTTGTCGTCATTTCGACCGCAGACTTTTACGCTGGCTGCTCTGCTGATGGCCATCCTTTGAGCGATTTTAATATCCTTTTGGTGTTCCCGCCTTTTTTCTCCGAGGTACACATAATGTATCACCATCACTGGTACTTGCCGTCTGGGGTCCTTCAGCTTACTTACTGCGGACACGTCTACTTGTAACCGACCGCCACCATGAGCAGGATTATTATGTTTAAAAAAAGCATAAATCTGGACGCAAAGATCTCCAAGCTGCGGAGGCAATCACTCAGCCGTCTTTGATTTACGATATGAAGAGAAAATGTTCACTGGTCGTTCGTTATGTTGCTTGATTTGCATGCAGCCGGTAAATGCATTGAATACTGGTGGTTTACTAAGTGTTGCATTGAGTGTCGGTGTTGCTGGAAGACATCAGAGAGACGGTACAGGTGGGTGATGATTGCTGCAGAATGGAACTGGGTGCTGGAAGTTTAGGATAGATGATGAACTTGGCATAACTGATTATCAGCACCATCGATCGCTCCACGTCGATAGTTGGGCTGGTCTTGATGTAACTCAGAGCGTGCTAAGTCACTGCTCGGTAGGTGACCAGTTCCAAGCTGACATTTGCTTCTCTTACGCACATTTTCATTGCAGATACGATGTTACCGAGGCACAAATGACCGTTATAGGCATTCTTCTATTAACAGCCACATTTGGTACTGGCCTTTGGACGGAAAAGGTTAATCTTCGC